CGAGGCAGGCCACCAAACTGCTGAGCTAAATCCCCGGCCCTGCCTTTTGTTTCTTTTGACCTAACCAGGCATGGGATACTGTCTGATCAATATATACACATTCATCAAAAATGTCCAGATTTTGCATACATGGGATCTAATATAACAAAAAGTCACTTACTCTGGTGGAGGCATTTTTGAGGGCTCAACATCTCGCAGAAATTCACACTGGAGAGCCTGCTCAGCAGTGCAGCGCTTACTAGGATCCAAGGCGAGCATGTAATCAAATAAGTCTAGTGCAGCTGCAGGAATGCTAGCATGAGAGGATCACAAAAGTTATATACGTTTTCTGGACACAAGCTTTGGGTTTCTTTAGGAATGTTACTTTAATGTAATTTATTATCAATTAAAATTTTTAAATTGTTATTTTAAATGCTAGTATTTATATACTTATAATACTTCACTGAATGCCAAATTTTCTTTGAAGAACTATTTCACTATTTTAACACAATTTTTTTAACTACGTGGCAAGCAGTAGTATATCATCTATGGGCAATCTGCTACTGTATTTTATTTTAAAAGCTGAACATTAATTTTTTGTTCTTTTTTAGAGACAGGGTCTCACTGTATAGCTCAGGCTAGCCTTGAACTCACTATGTAGCCCAGGTTGACCTGAAACCCTCAGTGATTCTCCTGCCTCAGCCTTCTGAGTGCTGGGATTACAGGTGTGTGCCACCATGCCCGGGTGAACAAAATAATAGTTTCTTAAAGCAAAAACCTAAGCTCAAGTAACTTAAAAGATGTTCTTCTAAGAAAAATGTAAAACTGTATTTTCAAAATTCTCTCATGTAAGCAAACACATCAAACATATAATCCAAATCACTGATTCCATCAAGATGTTAAAAGACAATTTGCATGCTGCAAAAGGAAATTCAAGATTGTGACAATCTAGTTCAGGTCAACAGAACAAGGACAGAATGATATTTAGAATTCATAAGTAACTTTAAAAAAATATTCAATGCAATATGGATGTTTAAGCATCCCTTTCTTACAAAACAAACTCTTCTCTTAACTTTCGGCGATATTGCTTCTTTGGTTTCATAGTGTTGAAATATGGTAGCTTGATTACATCAGGCCACACTGCTGGACACGGACTCCCACATATACGGCTAAACAACACACAAAAAAGGATTACATCAGTATATGCTAAATAGAAAAATAATACAGACAACTGTTAAATATTGACTTATTTTTAAATTGAAGCCTTCATACAATGTGTAATTAAGTATTTTAGAGTTCTGAATTTACTCACTTAAAAAAAAATCACTCTATTTTCAGTGATGCTTCTAAAAACCCAAGCATCTGGTTCCTAGAGAGGACCTTCATGCTGGAAAATAACTAGCAAAAAGACTACAACTGCATGGAAAAATAGAAGACCCTAAAGGTAACAAATTTTTAAATACTAAAGTTCTTATTGCAAGTAGTGCTACTGATCACAAGCTTATCTACCTTGAAAATCCTAATTAAACTATTAATTAGTGAATTCTTAATATATTTATAGAATACTTAAGCAAAGAGGCAACTCCAGCTAGTGAATATTTTTAAAGTATTTAATAAATGAAATATTGGCTAAATATAACCGAGTACATCAAACTTTAAAGATACATGAGTACTGCCTATAAAACTGCGATGATCTTCACAAGTAACAAGAAAATGTACATGCATCACTGAAGAAAATGAGAAATTTTATACGTGCATAAAATATTATGAATTGATATACGTGGTAGTCAAAGTTGCCAGGCATTTTTTAGATGAACTTCAGAATGTTAGTTCAAAAATACTTCTGCGGCATTTTCATGTTCAAATTTATGCCACTGAACTATACTTTATCTCAGTAGTTTAGTGTGCAAATTTTTAAATATATTAAGATCTTATTTGTAATCCTATCTTGCTTTTCATGACCACCTCAACTTGCTTTTTTAGGGAAAAGGGCCAAAATCTGAGCAGGGGCTTGCTAGGGAGTAGTCCGTCTCATCTTTCAACACACTTCCTTGCAGACAGCTCTTTCATGTTCTTGTCTTTCTTCTCTCTAGATCTATGTAGCTAAATCATCTTTTCACTTCTCAAGATTCAAATGAAGTCTTTCTGCTAAGTTCTCTATTCCACAGTGTTACTCAAAATGGCCATTCTTTGCCTACTACTTGTTTGGCACCCATTTCTCCCTAATGTACATTTTAGTGATTTACATATCCATTTCTATTATAGTTCAGAAACTGTCTTGTTTTTCAAGACTTCTCTAGGGAAATACATAAATATAAATAACGAATTCTAGGTACATGATGTACATTAATAGAGAGTGTAAATCATATTGGAATAGTGGAAATAAAAGTTTCTATTGCACACAGGCAAGATAACTTAACTGAGGTTAAAGGGGAGAGAAATTTTGGTTATAATTCCAAGGATGAGGAAGCTACAAAAACATGGAAAAAGTGTTAAGAAAAGCATCACTGGCAGAGGCATGGAAGTAGAAAAGAAAACACATCTGAGAAAACTAAATAAATGCAGATGGAATTTCAGGCTCAGGGAGGTGAGCTAAAGTGTGTTTCTGGGGTTACAGTCACTTTGCATTCCTACAATGAAAACAAACTCTGGAGACAAACTTTAGATCTGAATTCTGTGTAATACTGATCAAACTGCACTTCTTAGGAATCTGCTTTTCTTTTATAAAGTGGAGAATAATTTTACTTCAGTGCTACAAAAATAAACTAGCCACCTCCCTGTTAACAATCATAATAAACACAAGATTATTACCCTTAAAAGGAATTTCTATTATTATATATGCTGGTGGAAAATAATAATACTAAAGTTGTATAACTAGTAGCAGCATACAGGATGGAATGGAAAAATTGAGAAACTAGGGAAACAGGTACAAGAGCAACTGCTAACCTTGTAATGCACCATATGCTAACATATATACAAACTTGAGGTCCCTTTGGGAAATACATTGTGCTGTACTAAACAACAGACTTCTATGTGAAAGCATATGATGCCTTATATTTTTTCAAAGGGTGCTAGGGTAAAATCACCTATACACCTTTCTCTTCAATTATTGGGTCTGAATTTTGTGACACATGAATGGAGTTAAAACTGTTGACCTCCAAGACAATGTTGATAGAATTCAACTGCTGCTCTGAACTTAAAAATTTAGAAATGGTTATCTTTGCACTGCTTAGTATTACTATCCAAGTAATATCACACTTCCTTTTGCCTTAGATATATCTCAGTGAGATTTTTTTTTTATTACTGTTAGTCCACTATATTTTCTAAGTAATTATTTAAGAAAACTACTAAGTTTCAAAATCTGACAAAAATTTTAAATAGCCATCAAGACATTACAGTTCTGGAGTTTTAGAAGTTGTTTTTGAGGCTTTCCAGATATACAGTCATTTTACTAAATAGAATCTTTCCCCCACAACAAATGTATGTACTTGTCTCTGTGTTATGTACATTACACACATAACCATGGTTTGTTATATTATGTGTCAATTCTCAGGTAAAATGAAGATGCGACACAATGTTGACTTTGGTGCTGATTTTATTGGAAGTACTTATCATTGTTAACCCCTGGGAAGGCTGATTCTGGTTTGAGAAATACAAAACACATCATAAAGGTAGTATCAGTTACACACAGAAATTCACACATGCCTCCTGTAGAGAAAGGACTCCGTTATTCCTTTTTACTATGAGCTGTAACTTCTGTAGCTTTTAAATTTTTAAAAGATGCTTTGATTTTATCAATTGACTTATAAAGTCTATTAATTTCATCATCAGTATTTCCTACAATAGACTATTAAAGTCATAAATGTATTTATATTTCCTAATAAGTATTCCCTCTTATATTCAAAGGAAAAATACCAGTTGGGCCTAGTAAAAGTACTATTATTTTAGTGTAATGACATATGCTTTGCATTGGTACTGTATACAGCAGCAGTGCTAAAAAGTGGAGTCCAAAGATCCCTGGGTTCCCCTAGGCCTCTCAGTGTTCTGACAAACATCCCAAAGACATTATTTGCTTTTTTTCAATGTGTTAACTTGCACAAATGGCATAAAAACCATGTTGGACAAAACTATTGGCATCTTAAAAATGATTCATGCCATTCCAAGAGTGGAGGAGCCAGTTTCACTTGAGAATGTACATATTGAAGCAGCAGTTATTAAATGTTAACATTTGAACATAGACATATCTTTAAAATATTGTGATAAAATGGGAAATTTACTTCTGCTGCATGTACAAAATGTGTATGCGCACACACACACAATTAGTTATCATAAAGAGAAATACTTGTCAGTATTTGAGCTACGAGCTCAAGTAGCTGCATTTTCAATGGACCATTATGTCTACCTATAAGAACTATCAATAAGCTATTGGTCATTCATTGAGTATTTGCAGTTTTCTCAAATGTGAACAAATCAGCTTTCAATTTCAAGGAAAACAAACAGTATTTATCATTAATTATAAAATTGTAATTTTAAGAGAAAATCAGAGTACTGGAAGACCTATATCCACCAGCATGAGCTTTGATACCTTTGCATTACATAGCTTTCCTGATGAGATTAGTGGTGATAACAAATACATAGTTATATTTGGAAGTATTTTTTTCGAATGACCAATAATGTGTAATGTTACAAAATCATCACAGATAACTTCATTCTGAGCCCGAGATAGACCAATGAGCTCTACTCAATAAAGTATAAAATATTCCTTCAAATAAATTTGGACTGCACACTTCAACTAACCAGTCAATTAAGACTTCCACTAATCAGACATGAAAAACTACTTAACAATGTCATTTATTTCAGCAACTTTTATTTTGTAAAATATATTTTTAATTAAAAAGGTTATTTACATTACATTAAAATTCACAAATTTTTCAATTTTAACTTCTAATATGGAAATTACTACTATAATCCACATATACAAAAGGTGAAATCTTTAAGAATGTTTTATCATAAAGAAGTTGTGAGACCAAAGTTTGAAATGCATTGTCTACAGAATATTTTATGTATTAGTTTATGAAAGTGTATGATTCATTTTTAAAAATAATTTCATCTGTGTGACTACCTAGGCCTGAGGCATTATGTATTTCAGGGGGTTGTGGTGGTAATCAGACAGAAGCAGGATTCTTTTCATTCTCATCTTTTGTTTTGCTTTGTTTTTGAGACAAGATCTCACCATGTAGTCAGTCCAGGCTGGCTTCCAACTTACTATGTAGCCCAGGCTGACGTTGAACTCAAGGCAGTTCTCCTGCCTCAGCCTCCAGAGTGTTGGGATCACAGACATGCGCCACCACACCTGGCTCATTCTCATCTATTTTTGGTTTCTTCCATGATTAAGACTTTTATTTTATAAGCAATATAGATGATATAAAGGCTCTTTTGCTGGCCGTCAGAAGCTTGGAATTGAGTCTGACACTTGTATAATTTGTCTATGGCCACAAAGAAAACATTTTTTGCCATCATACATCACATTTAGTCCTCCCATGATTTCCACTTTCTTCTATCACTTTTTAACCCATGCTTCTATTAACAAAACTACATTTGCATAATATACTTTGAGAAACAAAGCAAATTTTAAATAATTGTTGTGGTATATAAAGCTCTCTAAGAGATTCTGATTAGTAACTCCAACTTCTGATCATTTTACATGTACTGTATAATATTGGGCCCCGATGTCATCAAGGTTGAACCTTTATGTAAAGGAAACGATCTGGCAATATCAACTAAGGCAAGGAACAGTAGACTGTACCAGGAAACTTATTTATTTCTTACAACTCTAATCATTTTATTGGTTCTGTCTTCAATTATGAAGAAACAAATTTAGTGTATTGTTAAACTTACCCTAAGTCACAAGAGCCAAAAGTACCTGAGCTGGCATTAGAACCCACCACATTGAACGATTCCAAAGCCCACACTTCTCAATACTCTGCTGCCTCATTACAATCAAGAGACACTTGTTTATCAGAAGTTTCTTTTATTTTCTTTTCAAAAAATTAAGTCAAAACTGAAGCATTTCATTGTATTAAAAACATTTAATGTCTTAATAAAAACATGCAGAAATATATAGGCCAGAGAATTCATGTTCCCCTCCCTAGCCTTCTCTGAAGTCCACGTTAAGACTTAACAATTCCAGATTCTTTTGATATGCTTTACTTAAATGGGATCAACTAACCACAGCCTTCCGTAAAAATGCTTTTCCACGTTAGGATCTCCAGAACAACCATTCCTGGGTAACTGCAGTATGCTACTAAGGGAATGGTCTGACCTTTTTTCATTACATAGTCCACTAACTGATTTGATGTATTCATAAAACAAAGCAAGGAACACTTATGTCTCGGTTCTTTATTTTCCTGTTCCTTCTCTTCATTCAGATCTCTGCTCTTCCTTGATCCTTCGTATAGTAATTACTTATTCCTGCATTCATTATCCCATTTCATTTCTTACTGCTTTATAAATTTTACACATTTATTTTGTATGCTTCCCCTACCGGAAAGCAGAAACATTTGTTTTGTCTTCTTCCTCAGTCCCCGCTGCATCTGGAGTCCCCAGGAATTGGCAACAACCAGTAATCAATAAATACTGCTTCACTGTACAGTGAGATCTGAAATATCTGTATCCAAAAGGTTTTAGTTATAATTCAGTTTCAACACGATATGTCAAATTTTCCTTCCTTTTACATTTCTTGAGTATACTTTCCCATCAATAGTCAAATTTCAAAAACTCTTTTGAAAATCTCATGAGGGATGTACTGATTAACAGAGGATGAATGATCAACTTTTTTTAAAAAATTAAGGATTCTAGCCAAAAATGAGCTGTGTCTCTCCAGCAGTTTTCCTCAAGTAACAATTGTTAGTGGAGCATGTGCGTTTTCAATATTCCTGGGGTATATACATTCTGGTGATTTCATTAAAGGCCTATTTGCCCCTCGACTATGTTATCTAACTGGTTTTTATTAATATACATTTTTAAAACTATTGTTTTTAGTATATAATATATAGGTATACATTGTGGTGTGATTTTTTTCTTCCTGTCACTTCACCAAAATTTTTTATTTTGAGGTGCTTTGAGTGATTCCTTCGATGCTCTGTGTATACAATGTTAGCATATGTAAATTACAACAGTACTGTCTTCACCTTTACACTATATGTAGCTTGTACAGTTTCACTATTCTAATACTACTAACTTGCTAGTACTTCAAACACTATTAAAAATTATTCCAGAAGATAGGGTTTTCTCACTTTCATTTAATTTCTAGTGTTTTACTACCAAGTATTACTTTGGCTACTGGTTTATGACACAAATTTTCATCATGTTAAATATCCCTTTACACTTAAATAAGAGTCTATATTTCTAGCACATGCCTATAAACCCTGATAATATATTATCTTCTATTAAAATAATGAATTATAACAAATGTCCTAAAACTTCTTGTACTCTTGGGACAAATCACACCTTACACTCTAAGTTTATTACCTAATGAAAAAGCTGAATACTATTTGTGAATAGCTTTCTTAGAAATTCTGGATTAATATCTTACAGAAAATTTTCATGCTGTCATGTCAAGTTCACTGTGTAAAAAGTTCCAGGAAATTTAATTCCCTCTCTTGTATGGTTTAAAGTTTAGATTGTTAACACTGTCTATAGATTCAAACCTTGAGTTTGTTTGCATCTTGGTAGTAATGTAACTCTAAATAAATTCTTTAAGATTTAGTTTTCTTAGCTATTAAGAGAAGACACTGGGTCGTTATGAAATTTAACTGAAATAATTTAAATGAAACTCTTAGCATACTTGCATAGTCTACAAACAAGATAAGATGGTAATAATCATTGACAGAAGCCCTTGTACCAAATAAAATCAGGATCAATACTTGGTTAAGTGAAAAATGTGTTAAGAGGGAATTATATGTATAAAAAAAGGATACACAGATAAATAATTCAAACATTTTATTTTAACTGAAAATTTATAAATACACAGTCACTCCCCAGTCTTAGACATGTACCAAAGGCTTTCTCTTTCAACAGAGTATTCACTGAATGGAATTCTGCATTAGTTTTCTTGCATAAACCACAGCCACAACAATCATCAAGGATTTTTAGTTTTGGTTTATAAAAAGCTAAAAATTAAAAATACTTTATGTTAAATCTAGATTTTTTTTTTTTACTTTTCTAATGATGCAGTTATGTGCCCACCCCTAAATACATAACAAAGTTTTAAAGCTTCTGCAAAGCACGGTATCTATATTTAAATGACACTAACTGTCATAAAACATTGGAAACCACCACCTACCTCTTGGTCATCCCCCTCTTTAACTGGTGGGATAAACGTGGTGTTTCTAGAAAGCGGTGACCTACCAGCTCCAAGCATTCAGCTTGCCATTTATCAATCAAATATTTACACAGAGGGAAGGGAGACTATTGATTAAACTAACTGTTCAACAGAAGCTTGGATAAGAAAGCTTCTAACTATGTTATTTTCTTACAGGATAATTTAAAGAACATTACAATTAATGGTTTCTAAATTATTTTCAAAATCTGCCTATGAAAATCTTGCAATCTGGTTGTTATCACAGCAATGCTTTGACAGAACTATTTCATACCCTTGGATTTTCCAACATATTCTAGAGTTAATTTTGGTGGACCAAGTAGTCTCAGAGTAACTTAATTTTAGTCAATTTCTTTTTTTTGTTTTAGATAATTAAAAAACAATTTTTGAGATAGGGTCTTGCTAACCTGAACTTCATGATCCTGACTCAGGCTCCCAAGTAAGTGGCATTATAGTTATGTGCCAGTATTGAAGTCAATTTCTATCTTTATAAAGTAAACGTCATTTTATTGTTACTCTCCTTTAATATTAAGATGAACTACAGGATTAATTTATATCATACATGTATGTGAATAAACCCAAGGCTACATCATCAGCTTTATTTATAAGTTGTACATTTCTTTGTATTACAGCTCATTAAGTGCCCTTATTCTGTTTATTTTGCTATTTTGTTTTTTCCTTTGCTTGTCAACTGACCACTTAACTTCATTTCATTTCTTAGTACTATTCAGTTATATGTCATTTAATGACAGGGACATGCTCTTAGTGCTACACTGTGAGGTGATTCTGTTGCTGTATGAACATCACAGTTACTTACACAAAACTACACAGTATAGTCAACCACCTGACATGGCCTCTTGATGCAATCAAGAGAGGCAATAAATATAAGCTGTGTGAGGTTGCTGCCAGAGGAACACAGTGTACTGTTTTATAATAAACTTTTTTTTTATAAGTAGAAATAGTAGATACTAAAACAATGATAACAGTACAGCACAGCATAGCATGTACATAAACCAGTAACACTACTGACAGTTCTTATTGTTAAGTATTATATGCTTACACAATTGTATGTGCTATACTTGGCAGCACAGTGGGTTTGCGTGGTATAACCAAAAAGTGAGTATTCCTTGCACTATATTACAAAAGCTGTGATGTCACTAGGTGACAGTAACTTTTCAACTTCATTACAATCTTCCAGCACCCACAGCACATATGCAGCCCACCACATATGGCAGGTTACTGACCAAAATGTCACTGAAAAGTTCGTGACTGTGATTTTTTTCCTAAAAACTAGTTTTACCAATGAATTTTTACATTTAAATTTTTTAGATATTTCCGTTTTTATATTAATGTTTAGCTTTACTCTATTTAAAGAATAAAGTCCAAATTATTTCAATGATGTGATTTACTCATATTTGCTTTTTCTATTATTATTTAACTATACTTTAAAAAATGGTAATTACCTTTGAGAAGTGTATTTCTTATTTTGGGAAGGACAAGTCCTTCATCCTTGTCTATTGATCTGTCACACAGTTACCAGGTTATTAAAAGAGTGAATTCTCGCTGGCTGGCCTTTCTCTGGCTGGTTCTCTATGGTGCTGCCCTAGGATTTACATAGACAGTCCTTTACCAACAAGAAACCCCCCAGCAGATGCGGCTACCCAACATTGAGCTTCTCATCCTTCAGAATATGAGTAAAGAAATTTTTGTTGTTTATCTTACCGAGTCTATGGTATTTAGGATACAGCAACAGAAAATGCACCAAGATACTCCTTTCTCTAACAACAATTTACCAAAATACCAAAAAGGGGAACATTAAATTTCTGGTCCAAGGTTTTTTTCAGGGGAGAGAAATAGCCCAAACTGTTAACTGTAATGATCCCCAAAAGAAGGGCTACTTGCCAATTCACAGGATATTCTTTTTATTTGATTAGTTCACTTTTTGGGGGTGATACCTTTCAAATTTATCAGATGAAACCAGAATCCTTCCCTAGTTGCTACTGGTTGTTGTATGCTTATTTTGTTCATTTGGAAAAGTAAAATTCTGTATTTGTGCCTCCTACCAACATCTTTTCTAAAAGACTTCATCCTTACGACTCTTACAAGTAACAAGTTGCAGTCTATATAAAATAAACAATAATTTACTGTAAAATATAAAATGAAGAGAAAGTTGACTAACATATATGAGAAACTGCTTATACTGGGGTCCTATGATAGGATCAAGTGAAGACCTCTGCCAGCCAAATCTATGCATATATTTTAGTGGGTATACATACACATAGATATTTATAAACATCTTTATGAATTTTTTTACAATATCCCAAAACATTAATTCTCCTTTTGTGCTATACCTTTAAAACAACTATCTGCCATTCATTCTCTCCTACTTCATATTACTCTTACTTCCCAGTCCTGTTATTTCAGCTTCAAGTCTTTTGAATTATTCACCACTAACACACACACACAGATCTAGGACAGTAAAATCCTTAATTTTAATTGAACAAGTATTCAAGGGTGTGCATTCTAGGTTCTCCTCCATTTAGTAGTCATCAGGCTTCAAGAGAACCAGGCTGGTTCTCCTCATGAAGTATGCTTGAAAATGTTAAGTTTCTTGTGGAGTGTGAGACCCCCCCATCCTCACAAATATTATCAGCAGCAGCTTACCTTATTAATTCTAGTTGTGCAAGTTCCTGATTTGCTTGAAATATAGGTTTTTTAGTGAAGAGTTCACCAAGTATACATCTAATGGAAAAAATACTGATTATTACCAAATGATTTTATTCACTATGCTAAGTTTTAAGTAAAATGTGCCATCAATGAATCTGTCTTACCCACAGCTCCAAACATCAATAGCTGGTGTATATCGTTCTTCTCCTAACAGCAGCTCAGGTGGGCGGTACCATAAAGTGATGACCTTGTTAGTATATGGTCGACTAAAAAACACAGAAAACACTCTTCAGAGTTAGTATTTATTGGAAGCGATTCATTTAGGAAATATAATTTTAATTATCAAAGAAATCATGTAATTCTAACTAAAACCACTTTCATCTACTTAGTAAATACAGATATAGTAAGGCATTTAATATGTGATCATAAAAGGCACCTGAGAACAACATGATTAACTAAAAATTTATCTTCATTCATGAAAATAAGAATAAGAAGTAGTTGGCTGTTATCAACCATAATTCGATAAAAGGTCACAAACTCAACTGCCAAATAATGTTTTCCTTATCCATAAAAACTATTAAAATGATGAACCAATTTAAACAGAGCTAGTTGATTTTGGCCAAATCTGGCAAATTACTAACAGGTGACAATACACAATTCAAATTGGGATCAGCCAATGAAAATTGTTTTGTTTTGTTTTTGTTTAGTTTGCAGTACCAGGGAGTGGACACAGAGCAAGTGTTCTACCACTGAGCTATAACCTAGTCCCCAAATGTTTTTAACTGAGTGTATCTTAGACAGTAGTTCATTAACACTGACCCTCTCAGATTTGTGAATAGAAAAGCATGAAAATGTAGACTATAGTACTCGAGGTCTGTTTGACAAAGCCCACTACTAGTAGGTACAATTTTTTAGATGACTTGTCACCTCTAGAAAGAGGAATATACAATTACCTCTTTTGCTGCCAAAGAAGAAACTATCTAGCCATGTCATAGTAGAGTCCAGTTTAACTATCACAGTATCTATTCCCTGGCAAAGTGCATTTATTCCACAGAATGGTCACAGTCTACCTGATTCAGATGAATGAAGAATGTTCTATAAAATCAGACAGAGGAAGTTCAACTGTTAAGAGTGTGTGTGTGTGTGTGTGTGTGTGTGACACACACACACTTCAGGCTGATCACCTATGTCTTCACATCAATTCTAAACCTCTTCTTTCCTGATGTCTTACAAATCACAAAAACTCAAAGGACATATTATAGGAAATTTTCCAGAAAAGCTGTAGTCCAAACCCATTTACCTGAGATTGGCTTGGACCTGGACCAATTTTGAGAAGGAAAAAAAAAAAAAAAAAAAAAAAAAAAGCACAGAACTTTTAAAACAATTCCCTCTTGCCTACCACAGACTTAAAATTCCACACAGCATAAAATGTGTCTGACCTTCTCTACCCCACTGAGCCAAATTTCAAATTTCACCAAGTAACTTAAGCACTAGTATGACAAGTGATCAATTTGGGCATCACATCATCACCACAGACAAGACTATGCTAAACATTCCACAGAGAGAAAATACTATAACTTTGGTTAAAACTGAAAATAAAGGGTCGGGGATTTAGCTCAGTGGCTCCGCTGCCTGCCTTGTAAGTGGCAAGGTCCCAAGTTCGATCCCCGGTACAAAAAAACAAAAAAGGAAAAACAACAAGAACAACAACAAATCAAAAACCTGAAAATAAAGAGAACAGTCTAAGATTTTTAACAACAAATTAGGGTTAGATTTTTCTAGTATTATTAATGTAGTTCTAGTGATTTTGTTTGCTTACTGGCATCACTTATCTCCACACATTCCAGAGTGTTAAGTCCAGCTACTCTAGACTCAGTCATTCCTTTACAACTGTCTACCTGTTCGTGCCTGAAGTCTTTAACACATTTACAATGCGGCTGTAATTCGTATGTCTTGCTGCTGGGTGGCTCTGAACCACTGTAGTACACACACAACTGTCTCATCGATTGGCATGGGACAGTCCCATCAGGTATTACTAACTGCCTGATGGGACAGTCGTGCACATACCACTCATGGGTCAAGCCAGCAGGAATATGTAAAAGTTGAAACTGTTCCGAGATTTTACTTACTTATATCTTATAATTCCTTCACTACATAGTGAAAGATCCACCTCCACAGAAATCTAATCTCTATTCACAATAATTTTCTTCACATGCTTAGCATGGTCTTAATTCTCTACTTCGGATTTCCATCTTCACAGGAATTCAAAAGACCTTACAACACAAATCCCAGAACAACGGCAGGTGCAGGGCACCTTACTGTAAATAGCACAGCAGACTCAGGTGACACACACAAGTTAGCTGGACAGAACAAAATTTAAGTATTATGACTAGTTTCCAAGATACTTCAAGGGTCTGTATGCATTTGAAATCTACAGTCATGTTACAAAAGCAACAAAATAACTAGTCTCAAAGAAATGCTCCAATTAATATAAATCTATGCAAATCACAGATTTTTATCTTTACATTTTGAATTTTGGAGGAACTATGTAAGTTCAGGTGACTGAGTTGTATTGAAAAGGAATATTTAAATACAAGATTAGCAGCCAGGTATGGTGGCACATGCCTGTAATCCCAGGACTTGGGAGACTGAGGCAGGAGGATAGCTGAGTTCGAGATCAGCCTGGGCTACATAGTGAGTTCCAGGTCAGTCTGAACTACATAGTGAGACCCTGTCTCAAAACACCAAAACAAAACAAAACAAAACAAAACACAGTATTAAGTTCTAGGCAGTATTTATTTATTACAGTTATCATTAGCAGTTAGAAGTAACTTAATTTTTTATGCTCAAGTTTGCAGCAATACATACTAAAAAAAGTCTGCAAAAGTCATTCTTTTACACTGTAATTGACAGAGTTCTTGAGACAGCCTTTAGTTAACTACCTATATAAAAAAAATCATGGCTTTTTAATCCCTATCTAGCTTCTGGAATCAGAAATCCAACATTCATTCTTGATTCTTCTTTCCATCAAATAGCATAGCAAACTAGTTCCTTATTCTAACTGTTCTTCGCAAATTTGACAGCTACAACAAAAGCCCAAACCACTATTACTACTGCAGAGTCTGCACTGGTTTCCCTGCTTCACCTCTCATCCTCAGCCCTCACTTCTTTTTAAAACATGTTTGTAATAACAGTTTTTAAAGCATAAAACCAGATCCTATCAGCTGTTTGCTTTAAAAATGTCCAGTGAGTTCCCACTGTTAACTAAAATTTTACTTACCTCAGTTGCTAACACTGTACAGGGAGGATCATGCCTATGTTACTGATGACACTGGACAACTCTGTTATCCTTACACCTTCCAAGTCTGCTCCCAAACTGCCTGAGTCCCTTCTACTTTATAGCTGTAATATTCTTTGTCTAGGTCTTAAGTCTTCTCACTCTCGTCACTCAGGTCTTAGCCCAATTTACTTCTCAAAGAGATGCATCCTAACTGCCCCAATGAAAATTACCCCTGCCGCCACCTACCCCCCAGTATGGGTCCTACAAGCCACTATTTTTGTGTGCTTTGTAGTTCGTACTATTTTAAATTATTTCCCCTATCCCACATGTTACTAACCTCCCTCATCACCATGAAAATGGAACCAGGAATTTGGTCTGTCTTTAACAACTCTCTAGTACACAGCCAATAGATATTGGGTACGTCAGTGTCTGGGATACAGGTCACTTATTTATCCATTTGATGGACTGACTTATGTCATAACTATGTAACAATAATAAACTATCTCATGCTTTCTTTTACTCTTCCTCTCTATATTCACTTCTGTTTTCTGCATGTGGAAAACTTTTAAAATGTATAGATCATCACATTCCCATAGAAAAATTAAACTATTCTTTTCAAACTGATATTGTCATCTTACTAAGGACATCTGACTTGGTTGTCTATTCTACACATGAACTTAGTAGCCTATAAATACCTCCACTGTACCACATCCAAACGTAAGTTTATTACCTTTTGCTGCAAAATGCTTCTCTCCTGCTTCATGTCTCATCAAACAGCATCACCGTTTGTGGCAGAGCCTGACAGCTGTCCTCTAAAACTCTTTTCTTCCTTTCTTTGGCAGCTGCCCAGCTATGCTACATTGCCCATCCTCACTGCAGTGAGGCGTGGCCACATGACAAAGTGCTCTCCCATGGAGGACGACAAGTGCCAAGTGCCATTTTTAGGCCTCACTCATGGGAGCTTCTCCCTCTCTTCTCATTTCTGACAACAGCCTTGGAAGACATGTACAGAAGATGGCAGATCTTCCAACCTGGCTTCCTGGATCCCTATATGGAACAGTCACCACGTGATCTGATGTTATGAGTAAATATTAATGGTATACTGAAGTAAGCAACAACTATTCAGTATGAGTAAGTGAGAAATATATTTA